GGAGCCAGTGCTGATGTGCCGGTCCAACAACTACCCCAAGGGTTTCTACTGCAGCTGGCACCTGCCCACTCCCACCTACATCCCCAACTCCTTCAACATCACTGTCATGTAAGTGTCCGGGAAGGAAGAGTGCAGTGGAGCGATTTTCTCTCCCTGCAGCCCCAAGCAGGTGTCAAGCAGTGCCATAAAGTCTTGGGGCAGTGCGTCTGACCTGTATTGAGCATATGGGATCAGTGTCCCAAAAATGGGCCTGGGGAAGGGTGCCCCTGAGACATCCAAACTAGGTGTTTGGCCATGGGGTTTTGTCCCAAGAAAGTTCCAATTTCCCCAGAGGGGACCAGGAACATCCCCAGCTCCCGTGTCCCCTTTCCCTGCCCCACAATTTCATCCTCTTTTTACCAGTTGCCCACAGTGGAGTTTGTGCACACTGGATTCTGGTGCATTTGGCACAGACATGCTCCCTACTATGTTATGCTGGCTGTGTCTGGGCAGCAGCAGTGTCCCTCACCTACAACTGTCAATGGCATGGCATCACCACCCACCCTGTGCCCTGGTCCTGCCACAGCACTTATACAGACTGGTGCTGTGAGTTGTCTCCTGGGCTTGTGTCACCAGCAGAAAGGAGATGCAGTTCCTCTCACAAGAGAGACAGAGCCGACCCCATTAAAGTCTTTTCCTTTTCTTGAGGCTGGTGTGAGGACAATTCACTCTGTGCAGGCTTAGGCCAGAACATCACACACGTGAGCCTGTAGAATTCCCCAGCAGGAGGAAAGTAGCCCTTCAGCAGCAGCCAGGGCTGGTGCATGGGGACCATGGGCAGAACAGGGACCCAGAGCTGCTCCTCCTGCCTCCTACCTCCGGCAGCATGGTGCATTCCCCTCCCCGAGAACTGCTCCATAGCTAACAGCTCTTTTCGTCTCTGTTTCCCAGACACGGCACGAAAGAGATGGTCTGCGAGAAGGATGTCTTTCCCAAAAACAGGTGTCACATCAGATACCTCCAGCTCTTCTCGACGGTGAAGTACAAGGTGACTCTGACAGTCACGAATGCTCTGGGCAAAAACTCCACCACCCTCACCTTTGACGAGTTCGCCATAGGTAACTTCCGCGGCAGCCACTGGCCTCTCTGAGACAGTGTTGGGGTTGGCTTGCTCTGCACACAGCCAGAGCAATGGGCCAGGGGAGGGGCAGGCTCTCCAAGTGGAACCCCTGCCTATCCATGCATGAGGTGGAGCCAGGGTCTGAGCCACTCTGGCATCCTTCCCATGCCCCCCTGATTCTCATGGCCCTGCTGTAACTGTTGCTGGCACCTGAGCAACCTGGGCTAGCCAGGCAGGATGCCCACAGGCACCTCCCATGCTGGTCCTGTCAGTGGCCCAGTGCCCTGCCTGGCCCCGTCCCCAGTAGTCCAGGTCTCCTGTGATTACTGAGCTCCTCCCTGCTTGAGGGCTGGGGAAGTGGCTGCCATGTACTGAGGTAGAGGGCTGTGAAATTGTTGTGGTCCAAATGACATTGCCCTTCTTGCCCCTCTTAGTTTTCCTAAAATAGAGGTTTGGCGTGTGTGCTGGAGGCAGAGTCATGAGAGTTAGGACTTGAAGAGAAATTAAAATGTCCCATCCTCTTCCCATGCCTAGTCAGGATAAAGCCTTCCCACAGTCATCCTCCACCAGCCCTTACCTAACATGCTCCCCATTCTCCCCTTTGCACCTCTTCACTGCCCCACCAGGGCAGTGATGCTGTGCAATGCGGGATGAGGAGCAGGAGCCCCGGGGACTGGGGTGTTCGTGCTGCTGGCTGTGCTGCAGACCCGAGGTACAGATCCTTCTCCAACTGTGAAGGACCAGTGTGGACTGAGCAACTCATTGCCAAGCATGGCAAAGCAGGGAGCTGCGCACAGTGCTTTGCCACCCGCCAAGGACGGATTACAGCTGCTGCCATGTAGCAGGAGTGTTCATTCTCAAAGGAGAGGAAATATGGGAGAGGATAGAGTTCAGGAGCATGTTGAAAAACAATTTGCTGGTTACATTTGGCAATTACTGGACCAGAAAAACAAATAAATGAATCCTTGAAGTGCAGCCAACAGTCAGTCTTTGCCTTCAATGTGCTGCATGTCCCAGTCTCAAGCGGCTGAAGTGCCAGAGTGCAAGAAGAGGAGCTCCACTGCTATCCCAGATTTTTCCTTTCTACCTCAAATCCTGGAAAACATCAAACAAGAAACAAGGTGCCAGCTGTGAACAGAATAGAGAGCAGGGACTGTCCCGCTGTGTCCCTACAGCTGTGGTCTATATCCAAAGCTTGCATTTGTTGTTGCATTGTGAATGTTGTTAACAAGGCAAGGAGCTTAGTAGGGGATTGGTGGAGTTTCAGTCACTTGGGTGCCTTTACATGGAAATTGTTGTGTTTGTGAGAGATACACTCCTTAAAAATGAAGGTAAACTCCAGCCTGTGAGGCCCAGGGCAGCAATTAAGCAGCATTTTCCAAGTTCCTTGCATTCCCTCCTGCAGGAGTTCAGGGCATCGTTCTGTTACATCTGTATCCCACCCATGCCCTGCCTGGCTTCCAAAACATCTGGTCCTCTGTCCAGCACAGAAGGGCAACCCCCCAGGGAAGCACACCCAGCTGCAAGCCCCGGGCAACCCAGCACCAGCACAAGCCGGATCCAGCCCAGCAGTTTGAACTCAGCCTGGGTGGGAGGAGGGTGAGCGGGGACAGGGGTGGGGGGAGCCAGCACTGCCCTGGGGCCAGCCGTCAGCACACACAAAATACCACTGCCTCTTGCAAGGGTGCCTGCAGGGGTGCAGGGAGCCTGAAAGCATCCCACTGCTTGCAGTAGGAGGGTGAGAACCCCCAGCACCAACACAGCAAATTCTCTAATGCCCTCTGAGACAGCATTCAGCGAAGGGATGATGGCCCAGTGCTAATAGGATAGGCTGTGTCCCACACCCTGGAGCCAGCCCACTCCCATAAACACTTCAGTATTTAGTGGCCTTAAAATCTCTACATTCTGTACAGCTATGAAGTTCTTCTCCTCAGGATTTGGTACGGCTGGTGCGCATAAGAAGCATAGACGTGGTGGTGATTGAGTGTTTAAGCAGGCAGTCAACAGGCTTTGCAGAATCATTACAGGATAAACTCAGCTGCTGTCGATCAAGAGCCACCTACCCTGAGTGGAGCTTCTGCTTGTGCCGTCCTGGTGTTTCCAATTAAAACAAGTGCACTGCATTAGTGTATTTTGCCATACAGTTTTGCCCCAGGTTGCCTGCTCTCCTTGTAAAAGTTTCTGTATTTCGCTGTCTCTTCTGGCTTTCCTCCCTGTGGTTGCAAGCTGGAGGCTGTGTCCCAGTATGCTACCTACAGGCAGTATGGATCTAGTATCCCACAGGTTCCCTGGGGATCTCTATCTGAATCAGCTGGTCTGACATCTCATCTTGGAAGCTGTGATGCATTTTGCTCTGCTAGATGGTGAGTTGGAAAACCTATGGCTCAGGACAAAGCCATCCCATTGTCTGATTGGAAAAATTCTGCCTGGGAGCATTGCAACATGTGCACGCATCCTGCTACGATGGAGAGACAGTGTCAACCAACAACTGCATGATGCTTCTCCAAAAATCTTAGAGCTGGGGATGTCAGAGCCTGCCTTGTGTTTTCCCCTTAGCCTAGAGAAAATCATCACACCTTCTGCATGGAGGTTAAACCCCAAACATGGATCCCTGATCTCGTGCCCTGCTGGGTCGGAGCAGCCTGGAGCCAAGGCAAGAGCAGTGCAGTGCCAGTGGCTCTCCCCGGCACCATCTGAGCTGGGAGCAGACCCACTGATGGGTCAGACCACCCACCCAGCCTGGGCAAACACAAAAAGCCCTCTGGCAAAGAGTGACCTCCTTTGGTTTTGCTTCCTCTTTCCTCCCTCCTTGGATCCCCCAACAGAAAATCCCTTCCCCAGTGGCTGAGAAGATGGGCTCTAATTGAGTGGAAAATGACTGGTACTTTCTTTTGCTGTCCCAAGCCCATGCCTTGCTGGTGGTCATGCCGTGCTGGTGATTAGCAGCCAGCTGCGAGGGGTCACTCTGCATTGTCATTTTCATGATGACTGGAAAAGCTTTTCCAGCCCTCTGGCCCCCATCTCTCATTGGTAGGAGATCTGGGCTGCATTTCTCCTCATCTTTCTCCTGGAAATTCTTTGCATAATTCTGTCTTCTGCAAAAGTATCAATATTAATAAAAGTGAGCATGGGGAGGGCAATATTCTGCAAAGCTCTGCAAACATCAGGGCTCCAGACCAAGTTTTGAGAAAGGTGCTGAAGGAACTAAAGGGGAGAGGGCCTGGAGGAAGAGGAAGGTACTAAGGAAGAGTGAGGTGTGTGTCAGGACTTGCCACCTCTCTTGTGATGGCTGGGACAGCATGTGGACATTTGTGACCCTCCAGGACACAACCCCACCTTCCTCATTTGTGTTTCATCCCAGGAATCATTCAGCTGGCACAGGCATACCCCAGGAAAGAAGGGACATCACCACCATGAAGCAACACCAATGCCTTTCTCCTCATATGAGCCCAGGGCAAATTTTCAGGAGAAGATGCACAGCACTAAGAGGAAAACAGCCTTGAATGTGGCCTTGCCAACATGGGTGCCTTCCCCAAATCTGTCACTCATCCCTTGCGTGACCTTGGGAAGGTCATTTGAGCCTCCTAACTCCAGCTCTGGGGTGATTAAGATGCAGAGCATCTCAGAGGGGCTGTATGAGGACAAACATGCCCGTGTCCATATGAAATTCAAAGTCTCTGAACACAGGTATCCTGTTGCCTAGGCAGAAGGTCAGTTCAATTCATACTACTTAGGGAGGCAGAATTAAATTACCTAGACTGACATTTGGCTAAGACATGGAGTTTAATATCCCTCTGCTCATGGAAAATGCCAGGGGATATTTAACAGCCTCAAGGGATCCATTTTAGCACTCATTGGAGAGATAGGATAGGCAACAGGCCCCTTCACGCTGCAGGGTCTCCTTTCTGAAGCACTGGCTTAATTTTGAGACGTGTCTAACAACAGCCAGGGTGATGGATAGCTAAAGACTCACAGTTAAGCCTGAGTGTACAGAGTCTGTAGGAAGAGCCACTCTCCACAGCTCATCTTGCATGCCGAGCTCTCGCTTGGACACAGCAGCAGAAAACAGAGCGGGAAGAGCTGTGAGTAGCCTCCCAGCCAAATCCCATTCCCAGGAATGTCTGATGATGCTCCCTTAGCTCTGCGGGATAATATTACATCTGGTTTTGTAGCCTCTTAACCAGTACTCAGCCTAATGCCCATTGTCCGTTATTATTACTATTATTGCTCTTATTACGTTACTGCCTGGAGGCCCTCGCCGAGGACAGGGCTCTATTATGCTGGTTGATGTACAGCCAGACAGCCCCTGCCTCACCATGTGCAGGCTAAATGGAGGCAGACAAAGGCTGGGGAAGGAGGAGTGCTCATCCCGTGTGTGGACGCGGGAGGCTGCAGAGGATAAAGGACTCCTTCAAGGTTACGTAGAAACTGGGGAGCTGGCCACAGCCTGTTACCCCTCGCTCTTCAGCTGGCCCCTGTGGGACTGGCCCTCGTGTGATAAGCACAGCATAATGAGGTCCATCCTAAGAGATGTAGGTCTGTCCTCAGTAGTCCAGCTGCTGGAGGTGCAGTTCCCTCTCCTGGCTCTTGCATCCCCACCACCTTGGAGGGAGGTGGCAGGAACAGCTTTGGCTTTGTGCTTTTGGAGAGGCTGGCACTGCTGCACTCTCGCCTGGGCAGGAATCCCACTGATGGAGGGACACGCAGGGAGGCAGCAGGGAGCCCTGGTTTTCCCATTAACCTGTGGTGCTGTTTGAAGGCTTGTTGCAGCCCCTTCGATAGCCAGGCTCTGCTGTCTCCAACCTGCCGGGGTGGGCATGGAGGTCACAGCCCTGCAAAATGGGCAGGTGACTCCCACCTCAGCACCAGGGCACCTTCGTTTTTGCTTTCCTCCAACCCACCACAGCAGCTTCTCTCATTGCTGGCAAAGCACATGCACTCTGCCTGAGAAAACTGCGTTTAAGTGTCCTTCTGCCATGGCTCCAGGCTGGCATGCCAAAAAAGCAGGGTCAGACTCCCTGCATTACCCCAGGGAGAATCCCATAGTGTCAATCCCCAGCCTGGCACCTTCCTTCACACTTCCTCACTGCACAGCCACAGTTTTCAGTCATCTGCATTCATTCAGTTGAACAGACTTGTTTTGCAAACTGAGCCTGCCGAGCCAGCACTGGATTTATACTTTTCCATATGCATTTGGACTCCAAGTCCCTGTCGGTGGAAGCTGATGTCCAGCCTGAGCGGAGGAATTGCACAGCCATCTGGAGTAGCTCAGCACAGCACAGCCCCAGCAAGTTGTGAAGCTGTGAATGCAAAATCGTATCCCATCCCTCGGCAGAAAGGGGTCAGTGGGAGCTCGAAATTAGCACTGGGCACCTGTGGTCAGGCCCATGGGTGCTTGGTCACCAGTCACTCCTGAAGCATCCTCGGAGTACCAGGTGCAGTAGGAATGGAGGAAGCAATCCATCCATCCTTGCGCCCACTGTGACAGAGGGAAGGCAATGGGAGGCAGGAGGGGCTGTCGGGATGGTGCCGAAGGTGGTAGTGAAGGAGAAATGCAGTAGGCTGTGTGCCAGGGTGCCAGGTGGGAGGGCTGAGGAGAGAAAAGTGGTGGTAGGCTACATCTCAGGGCAACGGGGCCTATCCTGGATCTCACCAAGGTGGCTGGGCTCTGAATTCATCTCAGTGGCTCCTGTCTGCCTCACTTGCAGCCAAGAAAGCAGGTTTGAAAGCATCGCAGGCTGGTTTCTTCAAAGAGGAGCAGACAGTAGTGGTGCATGGAGGGTGTCTTCCTGGCAGCAGTTGCCACAATGCCACCATCATCTTGGAGCAACAGACTTGCCCCACTTTTGCACCTGACCCCACACAGCTTCAAGCAGAGGGTGAGATGCCCTTCATGCACAGGGCAGGTCTGCAAGCAACAGGGAAGCAGGCTAGCAACAGCAATTCACTAACCACCACCACCTCCTTCCTCTCCCACCAGAGGCAAAGCCCCTGCGAGGACATCACCTCCCACTCACAGGCAGGTGAACCCCTGGGTTCAGCATGGAGGAGAACTCTGAGTGCTGGGCAGGAGCTCTGCTAGGGGAAGAGGGGC